CTGTGTCATGCCAATTGAGCTAGATGTTCCCCGGGACCATGGTCCCCACAGCCCTCCGCCCAGCAATTCAGTCCCTCAGGGAGTTTGGATGTGTCTATGGGGCTCCTTTTGCTTTTTTGATGTTGAATTAGAGTTGTTGGAAAGCACTAGACCAACAGACAAGATGAAGGGGTAGCAAAGAAAAAGTTAATATGACTTTTTTTTTTTTAGGTATCCCACTAAACCAAACAAAAACAGGGTGGTCAAGAGCTAACCACTTACTTTTATAGGAGAAATCTTTTAACTAAGTGAACTCTCGAATACTAGTTCCTAATTATGATTTTTAAAATTTCCAAAAATTCTTTAAAACATGACTATTGCATAATCTAAGTACATTTTTAGTATCTTAATATTCTAAAAGAAACATTTCAAACATAAGAGTACCACATTCTCACAAATGCATCCACTACGTGCCCTCACCTTAATCAGCACCTTTCGTAATTCCTCAAAGTAGGCAGGGAAATCCGCTTCTACCTGAAGGTCTTCAATAGCAAAAAATGATGCCATTGACTGGATGATATCACCAGCCAAATCAATATCATCTGTATTTACAGTAATCTAACCAGAGAAAAAACAGACAAGTTTAGCATCCTCAGATAGTAAACAGATTTATCTGAAATAGCGCTTGAACTTCACCATATCCAACATATTTATTGAGCATGTATTCATATGTGGGGATGCATAAATGTTCCAGCCCTCAAGAATATTACAAACCACATCCATTACTTCCAGCAGCTTGCTGAAAGATCAATCCTCTAGCCTCATAAACTAAAGGAGAAAATCATTCAAATAGTGAAGACGTCTGTTTACCTCTGTATTCCCAAACTTTTCCAAATTAGAGAAGGAAGGGTTGAAGGGAAGGAGAGCCAACCTGTTGCCGTCAAGTCATTTGCAACTCATAGTGACCTATAGGACAGAGTAGAACTGCCCCGTAGAGATTCCAGGGAGTGCCTGGTGGATTGAAACTGCCGACCTTTTGGTTAGCAGCCGTAGCCCTTAACCACTACACCACCAGGGCTTTGAGGAGAGAAAACTGCTGTTCTAGATTACAGGCAGTCCCTGGGTTACAAACATCCTACTTTTATGAACCACCCCCAGCCCCTCCCACCCCTCAAGGATATTATATTAAAAATTTGAGGTGCATACAATGGTTCGTAGTAACAAACGTGCTACTTTGTGATGTGAATCAAAACATTATTATTACTCTTATTATGTTAAAGATGTTTTAGTGTATCTGGGTTTCTTTAATGTTTTTTATGCATAGAAAGGTGCACTATATACTATAGACTAACACAAACATTTGACTAACTGATGTTAGATACAAACCGTACCTAACTGTTCCGACTTAACGTACAAACTCCACTTAAAGAAAGACTTAGGAACAGAACTCATTCGTAATCCGGGGACTGCCTGTATTCCTCATGGTCTAAGATGGTAACACTAACAGACTAGATTGAAATATGTGGTTTATGGCCTTGAGACCTCTGCTTCTGGATGCTTGACTGGCATCTTGGGCTTCACTTTGCAAAGAATGGCAAAGATTATGTGAGAAATCTATGCCCTGTGAGTCGGAACCGTCTCTACGGCAACCAACAACAACATGACATAAACATTACCTCTCCACTAGGTTTTATTTTTATATACAGCTGGCCACCATTCCGTAAGGATGTGAAACACACTTGAAATGGAGCATTCTGAATGTTAGTGTCTTCTGGTAACAGAAAGTTCTGGTTGAGCCATATTACAACCTTAAAAATGAATACAATGAAATGAATTTCCATTTTTAAAGTACAGTCATTCTTGAGAAGACCAGTTATCCTTCTTTCTAGTTTTATTGCTTGGTTAAAAAACAAAAAAGAATTATACCTCACCTCCCACCAAGAAAACACTAAGCATACTCTCTTTTCCCACCTCATACAAGTTCCCAAGTAACATTCAAAATTATGTCTGGCCCCACAACATGCATGATTTTATAGCATTTTCTCCTTAGAGATAATCTGAGATGCACTATATAAACAATTCAAGTATGATGCTAATTCTACAGAGCAGCTCCTCTGTGGGTGTATCTTTGACTATGTCATCTGCTTAAAATACCATTCTATTCTTTAAAAAATGTTAAATGAATTCTACATGCACACACACCACAAACACTGGACACATTCACACAATTAGTACAGAGTAAGTTTTAATGTTAATAATACTTTCCAGTGGTTTGCAACACGTAAGAACCACCTGTGGGGCCTTTTGAAAGGGCCCACCTATAGAGTTTCTGGTTCCACAGACCAGGCAAGGGCCTGAGAATCTACATGATTAAAAAGCCTCACTGCGGATTCTGAAGCCCAGACACTGGTATTAGTCCTTTCAACTTTGCAAGGTGCTGTCCCACTAACCACGTAATCCTCAAGGCCTCCCTATGAGGTGGGTTTCATTATAAATATATATTATTTATATAGTAATAAGTAAGAAAACTGAGGCTCAAATTTGTGAGGGGGATTCCCCAAGATCACTACTAATTTAATTAGCCAAGGTAGTGCTTGAACCTCCCAAAATTCCTAGCTCCAAGTCCCACTCTCTTTCTATCTTGATACAGGTTCCTCATGAACCACTAGGTCAGAACAGCCAAACTAAGGCCATCACAAGAGAGAAAGGAATTAAAAACTGGTAAGAATTCACCTGTGACTAACAACTGCCCAGGTAAATAATGTATGTATTCTTTCAAAGTGAGAGAAGATATTTTAGCAATATTTTTCTTACAGGCTACGAGCCAAATCCAAGCTACATTAACTCTTTCATATCATATTTACTGCTACCAACCTAACACATTCATGTAATTTCCCCCTTTCTAGGATATAGCATCTAGAGGATTCTAAAGTGCAAAACTACTGAAAGACAAAAGCAAGGCACTCACCCTCTGCGCCCGTTCGGCAATGACAAAGTTAACATAACTGAGTGGCTCGCTGGCAGAGTCTGGGCTGGTTAGAGCATACATGGAGAACCGAGGGAGCTGTCTTGTCAATTCAAATACATGAAACTGGGTGCTATGGCCAACCAATGAACACAAGAGAATGTTTTGTGTACAATGTTATTTCAACGTGCAAAGCCCAAAACATAAATATAAAATCACTAGTGGGCCATCAAGTTGATATTTAATGGTTTCACTGAAGAAAACCCCCCAAAATTTGAGGGCTAAAGTTCTTCAGTAATAGGGCTTGGGATCTAGAGATAGCATGGGTCTACATATAAATACACATATGCACCAAGGGTTTAAAAAAACCTAAAGGAACTGTGAAAATGCTTTTATCTTCCACAAATCTAGTGTCTTGTTTTTTGGAGTTTTTTTTTTTCCCACTAGCTGAGGTTATATATAACCCTAACATGAAGGTGTGTTCTAGCCCTGTAGTCTTAGGGGCCAAAATCGGAGTTGACAAATCATCAGTTAAACATATTTTTTAAACTTTTGTGTACGTGAGAGCATCTGACTAAAAACAGAAAATAACCACCTAAAACTTACATACCCTTTGCTTTTTGAAAGACTTCAAATTAGAGAAATAAAAGGTTATGGGAAACCTTAACGGGGTGAACAGAACCATTAAATGGCTTCTCTGGCCCCCCAGAGTCCATGGCATAATGGAAAATCTACACATCTCGCCCTCCTCTAAATGCTGCCTGGAAATGAGCTATGACTGGCAAGGGGTCACCTGCTCCTGTAACCCACGAAGGTTTTCAAGTGCAGATCCACAGGGACATCTTTGGGAGGTGTAATTGGGATGCAGATGGAGTTGGAGACGTTGTGAATGCTGGGGTGTACCACGTGGCTTTCACCTATAAAAATTCCCTCTGCAAAAATCAGCACTGCTCGGATGATGGTGTCTGCAAGGAAAAACGAAAACAGCAAGCAATTCAAGAACTCCTCCAAGATGGCCCAGGTGCCCACACACGCCAGCTGTAAATAATTTCTTACCATTAGAAGTGGAAATGCACAATTCTGCGTGAGCAGCCTGAGTCTCACTCCCCAGATTAACTGAGAGGGCGGTGTGGAGCTTGGTATTGGCTGGGATAATGCCCCGATGCCCATCAGCCTCACTCAGTGGACTGCTCGATTCAGCCTGCAAAACACCCCACCGGCTTCCAACTTAACTGTTAACTCTGACACCAGCAAGAAGGCTGAAGGAGTCTGCTCCTCCACCGGTGGCAGGAGGGAGCCTACACCCTGGCAGACATGGACACGCTCATTCTTTCAATCCTCCTGGTCATTCTCCGCTTTTCAGCTCCATTTCCCCTTCACATTAGGACCCACCTTGGTGTTTTCCTCATAGTTACGGAGCTCCAGCAACAGATTCTGTTTTTTCTGGCTGAGCTCCCGGATTAGGTCCTGCTCCACGCTTGTGTCCATGAGGTTCCCCCGCATCTCAGCAGTGCCTGGCAGGTAGCCCCGGACTGAAGAGAAGGAAAAAATCACTCTCCAGACCTCAGAATATCCCAAGTAGAGTCATCAATTACCTGTTTTTAAAAACCGAAAGCCTAAGTTCTCAACTCCCCAACCTAGGTGAATTTTTTAGAACCAGAAGATCTCAGTGCAAACACTTTATAGTGGAATTTCCTGACATTTTGACCCGATTTACTTTCTCCGTCCACTGAACAGCAGATCAGCTGTATGTGGCCATCCATCCGGTAATCGCCCTCAACCACACCAGCAATTGCAGAAGAGAAGTTGTCTTTAAAGATGACCTCCCCAGTTCGGTCACTTCGAGCATCGACCTAAAAATAAAACAAGAACTTGAAAAATCCCTTAGGGAACAGTTTTTTAAAAAACACATAATTTTGAAGTTAAAATCCGCCTTAAAGTTCATTTAGTCTAGCAGTTTTCAAGAGTGCTCCATGGAGCCCTGAAGCTTCTCAAGAGGTACCTATAACCACTGGGGCCAAGAGAGACCACAGGCACCTCAGCCAGCTCTGCTTTCTTCTTCTCTTTTTAAATAAAAGCTGTTTTACATACTGGCCTTCCATGTAATATTTCATTTGAAGAAATGGGTCTGGTGAAACAGTATATGTAATATATACAGCATAGCACAAAAGGGCATGGGCTCTGTTATGGATGGAATTGTGTCCTCCAAAAATATGTGTTGTAAATCCTAACTTCTATGCCTGTGGTTATAATCCCATTTGGGAATGGACTGTCTTTATGTTAATAAGGCAGGATTAGTGCAGGGTGTGTTTTAAGTCAATCTCTTGAGATATAAAAGAGATTAAACAAGCACTCAAGCAAGCCGAGATGGAGGAAGAGAAATGCCAAGCCACATGAAAATCGCCCAGGAGCAGAAGCTCAAAGAGACAAGGACCTTTCCCCAGAGCCGACAGAGAGAGAGGCCTCCCCTAGGGCCAGCGCTCTGAATGTGGACTTTCAGCCTCCTAGACTGTGAGAGAATAAATTTCTGTGTGTTAAAGCCATCTACTTGTGGTATTTCTGTTACAGCAACACAGGCTCCATGGCCAAACTGCCCAGGTTCAGATTCCAGCTCTGCCCACTTACTACCTATCAGATCCTAGGCAAGTTTCTTAACCATTCTGTGCCTGGCCTCCTCCTCTGGGGATCAATAACAAGAGCAAAGGGAAGATAACAGTACCTACATCTCATCAGGTTGCAATGAGGACTGAAGGAGGTAACTCATGTAAAGCACCTAGAACAGCGCCTGACACATAAAGGTACACAATGAATGTCCGCTCTGGATGAAAACATCATCTTTATTTATACATAAAGTTTGAAAAATGTTGAATTAGCCCAGTCTTGCACCACACAACCTTTTATAACAATCCTCCTAAGAGTCCTTTGTCCCCATGAGAACTATTCAGATACCTTAGGGAGCTCTCCTCTCCTCTTTGAGTCTCCTCTTCCCAAGAGACTGGGCAAATAAATAACTGACTGATCAGAAACAAATGCATCTCTAAGACAATAACGATGGACAATCGATTAAAATGATGACTTTGTTCCTGGCAAGAACACAGGGATTATCAATAAAAGGTTAGCAGGATGAAATCTGATAGAGCGATCATTTCAATGACCATTGCCATTCACTACTTTTGTCTTCTCATAAACACCCTTCTGGGCAAAAGTCTGCAACCAAAAAATAAGGTAATTACAGTCACGTCCTACTACTAGCCCCTGCCCGTGTCTGGAGTACATCACCCTCAAGTATCCATGTTATTAACAACAACATCATTTAAGTCTGAAAATTACAGATGCTAAAGCCTGTCATGTAATGAATGACCTGTATTTTACCGAAGCTCTTAGCACATTAATATAACCCTCTGTCTCACAATGAACTTGCTTCTTTCTAGTTAAAGCCTAGCTACTTAACAGCCTCTGACACCACAACTCTACATTATTTAGCAAATACAAAGGGCTCATTTGCTAACTAAGAAGCAGGACTCCAAATTAATATTCCTGTGGACATTCTGCTCCTTTGCTTTATTCAACATGGAGCTTTTGCCCTAAGATACAGGATGGCCCTCCAGCTCAACAAGTGACCTACTAAAGACAAAGTTAATTTGCTAGTAGTATTTATTTCATAGTTTTGCATCTACATTCACAGACTAGATCTGCAGATCTTCCTTTTCTCTGCTATTTCTGTTACCAGTCTTTCTACTTATGTAATGAACAGTGTAATTTTCTTATCTTTTTTTAATGCTCTGGAACAGATTATATGACAGAAAGTCCTTACAAAGCATTTAACCATAACAATATCTAGGGCCAGAATCATATTTGGAGGTAACTCTTAGATAACTGTCTCAGTTTGTTTCATTGTTATCAGTCCAGTAGTTTTAAAATTCTTGAATCAATCATAATTATTTATATTTTCCCAGAAAATGGTCTGTTTTAGGAACTTCTGAATTTCTTGATACGCAACCACAAAGTCTTCCCGGATAATTTTTAGTGCCCATACCAAAGACAAAACCAAGTGGAGAAGCAGGAAACAACAACTTTTTAGAATTAGTTATTCATACAACACCAAAGGTACTGGCCAGAAGTAAAGAAAAATGAAAGAATAGAAAAGATAGGAATCAGCGAACCCCTTCAGGCAATCCAGTATTAACAGAAAAGAAAGCCCTGGCAAATGGAATCCCTGCAGATCTGCTGGCTACTCAGGCAGTTTCTAACAAGGCAATCCCAACTTGCCCAAAGACTACAGAAAATTCTGATTTGAAGTTAAAATAGAATAAAAGCAAAAAGATTTTATCTTAAAGTTATACCTGGGAAAATGATGTGCTAACATCATTCTCCCCACTAAGTTTTGGGTCAGTTTTGAAGATTTATTAGATAACAGTAATTCAAAGAGTTAATTTTTAGGTTATTAAAATCCTTTTTTTTTTTTTACTGGCCGACACCTAGAATCAATCTGATTAAATGGATTTTCCTTCCTTCAAGGATAAAATATAGAAAGAATCTTCCTGGAGGTTTTCCTTCAAACAGGGCTTATAAAACTGAGAAGACACCCATTTAATCTGTAGCACTTGTTAACTAAAGCAGGAAGAAAAAATGTGGAAAGATTGTCATGTTAAATCTGCTTCTTAGGAGGTATATATTTTCACATTAGTGTTCTGGTTCATACAGCCAATACATATCCAGCAATTATTATTTTGACTTCTACTTCTACTTTGCTACTTAAACGTACCTTCCCATTGGACCAACCAGTTATCAGTTCAGGCACTCCATCAGAATTCAGGTCAAAAGCATGAATGCTCATGGCATGATTTTTGGACTGAAAAATAATTCCAATAATTAGTATACTCAACAAGCATAAAATCTCTGAATATCAGAGGCTGAATCATACTAACTTTAATTCTCCAGTATCGGGCCATTTTGTCATAAACTCCAACTGTGCCATTAGAAAGGGCATAACCAAATCGATTGCCATACATGGGACAAAGAGAGGTGATTATCTGTAAAAAGAACATGTAACAATATAACATCTTTTCATTAAGGCTCAATCTAATGTGAAGTATAGCTTAATAAAATTACACGTTTTGCTACACGTGTGTTAAAATTAGACTTAAATGCATTTCCAATCCCTTTGTGGGAAATAGATTCCTCTTCTCTCTGATCCATGTCATCTACTTCAGAGATGGATAATCAGATTTAAATAAACTCACAAAGTCTGGTGTCTCAGATCAAGAGTAAGTGGCAAGTTTCAGCAAATTATAAATAAATAAATTGAGGGATTAAGGAGGAAATTCTCGCTGAGCACACAAGATCTAAAATATGTACACGAGATGTTATAAACACAACCTGTAAGGTTTTAATGGTTATTCCAGTTTTCCCTTAATTTATAATGTCCTATAGTCTAATTTTTAGAAATAAGACTTGTAACAACCCACAACTGAATAAGTATACTCTTACATGTATACTTTTCTATGACATCATTTATTGTTTGCTAGAAGTGAAGACTATCTTAGAAGGAAATACAATCCCTTGAAAAGTGAAAACCCACTTTGTATGCGTATGTAACAATACACAGAATACGTATATTATACAGAAATATTTACAGGACTGTTCAAGGAATTAACATCCTTAATCTGTTGTTGTTAAGTCGATTCTGACTCACAGTGACCCTACAGGACAAGGCAGAACTGCCCCATAGGGTTTCCAAGGAGAAGCTGGTGGATTAGAACTACCCACCTTTTGGTTAGCAGCCAAGCTCTTAACCACTGTGTCACCAGGGCTCCTTAACATCCTTAGCAGGATAAAATTTTAGATAATGAACAAAATTATCTTAATGTTAAAACAAAAGCTTAATGATATCTGTGATCCTGCAGATCTACTTTCTAATTCTGGATCTACTTTCTAATTCTGAATCTAATACAAGGGGCGTTCAGAAGTAAATTGTACAAAGCAGAGAATGGTTACGTAATTTCCTTTATTCGTACAGCTTTTCTACAAAACCACCCACTTCACTTCACTTGGGATACAAAGTGCTATGTAGGAAATTTGAAAACCTAGAGGAAACAGACAAATTTCTGGAAACTCACTATCTGCCTAAGCTAACACAAACAGAGGTAGAACAACTAAATAAACCTATAACAAAAGAAGACATTGAAAAGGTAATTTAGAAACTCCCAACAAAAAAAAAAAAGCCCTGGCCCGGATGGTTTCACTGGAGAATTCTACCAAACTTTCAGGGAAGCGTTAACACCACTACTACTGAAGGTATCTCACAGCATAGGAAAGGATGGAATACTCCCAAACTCATTCTGTGAAGCCAGTATAACCCTGATACCAAAACCAGGTAAAGACACCACAAAAAAACAAAGTGCTGTGTAGGATTCTAGAATTATTTAGCTCAAGGCATTCTTCTGGCAATATTTAGTAGTATTCAACTGTCAAACGAATTCTGATTTTGCTGATCTGTGAAAAGACATTTGAGCCAGGAGTAAAATCAAACCGAGAAGACAGGAAAATGGTCTCATAAATGAACAATTTTATAAATTCTACATTTTTATAAGTTTACCCCAGATTCCTAAGTCCCTCAGTCTTTCAACAGTTCATTACAGGTAGTCTCTGACTTACAACATATTTGAGTTATGGTGAACTGCACTTACGACTGTCCTTTTTTTTAATAATCTGCATTTTTTTTATGTATTACAATATATCTCTAAGTTTAAATGTAACGTTTTCAACCCTCAAGGACAAATAAAGATCAGATTTACAAAGATACTGATAGTAAAAGGCAATAATAATGGAAAATTTAAAAAAGAATGAAAGTATTCGAATTACATCAGAACCGACTTACAACAGAGTCCCAGGAACAGAAGCCTGTCGTAAGTCCGGGACTATACGCAGTTTCTTTCTTCTGTGAACGACAGAATCAACCAGCACTACCAGGTGGTGATTCAAACTCATGATGACCCCATGTGTGTCAGAGTAGAACTGTGTTCCATAGGGCTTTCAAGGCTATGACCTTTCGGAAGCAGATCACCAGGCCTTTCTTCCGAGATGCCTCTGGGTGGATCACACATCCAACCTTTTGAGTAGGAGCCGAGCGCTTAACTGTTTGTGCAACCCAGGGACATCAGAGGATCAACAGTTGCCTCAAATCCCTCACTCTATTACATATTCTTCTGTCCTTCTCTAGGATTTAGCAAAAAGCTGTTTCAAAGAATACATCTTCACAACTAGTATGGACAGTAAACAGAAATCCCACAAAACGTAAATGAGTCCCATGAAATGGGAAAAAATTTACAGCAAATTGGAGTGAAAGGGATATGATAATACAGGACACAAGACCTACAGGCCGGTGATTCTCAAGACATTTTTGGGGGAAGAGGGTGGCAAACCCCTTTAAGAATCTAGTGAAAGCTAAGGATCCTCTCTCCAGAAAACCACACATTAGCATATACACAGAAAACAGAAGCCCCTATACAGTCACACGTCTTCAGACGGATGTTTTTTGACACTCATTTCTCCCTTTCATCTCTACTCTATCCACAACTATCATTTTAATAATTATAGTAACTGTGAACACGTAAAATGTCAAGCATGACTACGTGACAATCTGACTCCCACTATACGACTGCAGTGCGATTAATTACTTCTGTGTGTGCCCTTTCTAGCCATGGTCTTGTGACTCCCATACAGCTGATTGGGTGGGGCTGTGCAAATGAAATAATTGTGGCCCAAAGAGGGGATTGGTCAGTTTTGCCTTAAAAGAGAGCCAATTCCAGAGCAGAGAGGAGAGCCCACCACTGCCAAAGAAGCAGAGACTGGCAGAAGACTCGCAGGAGACAGTACAGCAGGCTTCCTGGCCCGTGGAGAGAGAAAGCTGAGTGTCTTTGGGCAGAGACTGAGGGCCAGAGAGAAGTCTATGCCTGACCCACAAATTTGGAACTTGCCAGCCTCTACAACTGCATAAGCTATTTCCTTTATATGGTTCATGAGTTCTGTAAGACGTTGCAGCAAATTAGCGGACCCAAAGACAGGAAGGAGAGTACTGAGGCAAGAGAGAGTAGTTGATATTAGAGATGATGGAGTGGTACAGCAGCTCGGAAAAGTTAGACATTTGGGACATCTTTAACCTCTGCCTCACAGGAACCAGCTTTGTGCTGATTCTTACAAAAGGAATTATTTGTTTAATGATAAAGGTATAGTTAAAATCACTGATAAAACTTTATACATCAATGTGCAAGTTTTGCTTTTTGGTCTCCTTTTATGTATGTTAGGGAACAGAAGTCTGACTTTCCTAGATAACTTCTGTAGGTAACTGGCGAGAAGCAAGCAGTTGAAGGACATGTGGTCAAGATCTGTGTTGAAGCCAGGCTTTTCGTACAGACCCCTGAGCACCACATGACTAAGTCTTCCAGACTTCCACCATGCTGCTCTCTAAGGCTCCCTTCTGCTGGTTTTTTCCTTTGCGTTTACAATGTTCACAAGTCATTGCTCCTTTCCCCTCTTCTCCATCTTTAATTCAGAATATCCCTGTTTCAGTGTTGCCTGATTCCTGAAAACTAGCAGCAAATATCCTAAGAATGTCAAAACTATAAAAGATGAAGACTATCCTTAGATAATGCTTTTAAAAAAAGCAAAGTTTAAACTCAGGTTCAATTATATGAGTGATTCTAATCACCAAAAAATCAGCAAGTTCTCTAATACCTAAGTTTTTAAGTTTACCTACAGAAATGTGCATAAGTACCTTAATTTGGATGAAGAGAAAAAAGTATAAAATCTCACTTATGCACTTCAGTCCCATTTAATACACATGATGATGATGAGGAGGAGGAGGCACAAAAGTTCAAATCCTAGCCAGGCCACTTAATAGCTGTGTGACCTTGGGTAAGTAACTTAACATCCTGGTGCCTCAGTTTCCTAATCTGTAAAAATGGGAATCATAGTAACACCTTCCTAATAGAGTGCTGTAAACACTAAATGAGTTAGCACTAATGTAAAGCATATAGAATAGTGCCTGGCATATATTAGGTGCAATATAAATAGTTGCCATAATTATTATTATTTACATGTATTAAGGAGCCCTGGTGGTGCAGTGGTTAAAGCACTCAGCTGCTAACCAAAAGGTTGGTGGTTTGAACCTACTGGCCACTCCGCAGGAGACAGATGTGGCAGTCTGCTTTGGTAAAGATTTACAGCCTTGGAAACCCTATGGGGCAGTCCTACTCTGTCCTACAGGGTCGCTATGAGTCAGACTTGACTCAATGGCAGTGAGTTTGGTTTTGGATTGGGTTATTTACATGTATTAAGTCATTAAAGGAGATGCCTTTATGTGTACAATTATATTCAATAATTTTTCTCTGTTTAATCAGTCTTTTCAAAATATTTATCTTAATCGACAGTTTTTAAATGCTTCTTTCTCTGTAACGTACAGCTCTGTTTAATCACTACAGTTTTTAGCCTTAAACTACCTGGGTTGTCAGAAGATGTCCTAGCACTCTCATTGATGTTACATTTGACTGTGGTGTAATCTATCTTGCCCGAAGCTGGTATAATTCTGAGGTGGCACTTCTTACCTCTGTTTCTGTCATTTCTGCCACAATCTCATCTTCCTTAAAAACTCTGATATCAAAATCCTCAGATCCAACAAGAAGCTGAAGGGAGGGGGAAATCATGTATATTCAGTTAAGTGAACACAGCAAAATTTAAATAAATGAAACAAAAAAGATACAGTACTTTGCATGCTGCTACTAAACACCTCAAAACCAAACCTACTGCCGTCAAGTCAATTCCAACTCAAAGCCACCCTACAGGACAGAGTAGAACTGCCTCACAGGGTTTCCAAGGAGTGGCTGGTGGATTTGAATTACCAAGCTTTTGGTTAGTGGCTGACGGCTTAACCACTGCACCACGAGGGCTCCATGCTGCTACTGTCACCAAGAATTCCAACTCTCCAATAACCTAGCGCTCAGGAAGGCTTCCTCTAACTGCTGGGTCAACAATACCTCACATCGACTGGCTGCTCAAGAAGTTAATTTCTGGGGTAACCATTAGAATCATTTCAAAGGCTTAGAGCTAGTCAGTCTTTCAAATGTTCAGATTCTTGGGAAAGTTGGCCAAAATTGAAAACCACTTACTAACATGGTTTCAAAACATAAGAAGCAAATTATAAGACTGTGACTATGACTGAGGTTCCATTAACTATTCTGCTCTCTCTCCCCTACCTGGGTCTTTGAAACATCATGGCCTTGATCTATGGATTAGACAAAAACAAGTGGCTTACTGTTCAAAGGAGGAAAAAAAGACAAATGAGGCCAGTTAGCTCATCACTTAGGCAACAGAGCACCAAAATCAACCATGAGACACTAACATTTCTCTCAACACTAAGACCACTGTCACGAAAAATTCATTCAGCTGAACACACAAGATGTAACTCCTCCCCCACATACCTCTTTCTTCCCATCACCGTCAAAGTCGCACAAGGCCAAGGAATGAACATTATCTCCAGTAACCTGAAAATAAACCCAAAAATCGTTAATATGTCATCTTTCTTCACTTAATCCATTTATATTACCTACACAAAAGACAGGATAGTACAAACCACCAATAGGTGTTATTCAAATTACTCATATCTTTTTTTAATATACAGAACTGAATGATAAATGTTTATTACTCAGTACACTCAATGGTTAAAAATTAAAAAACAGAACAAACACACACAACTAAAGAACATTCAGAGTAAAAATATTTAAGAGTAGTAAACAGAATGTTTTGTTCCTCATACCGTCCAAAAGAGATCATTTCCTTCATGATCAAAACCCTGCAGGGCACAATTTCCACCAATAATCGCAAGGGGAGAGGAAATGTCTCCCAACGTCCCCAACACAACTGCATTTGCCCCATCTGCTACCTAAGAAGAAAAAGAAGACACACAATCTCAGATGCAATGATGTCCGGGCACAACTGAGCTAACATAAATCTGTATTTTCACGTGGATACTCATATTCCTCTGTCATTATTTGTTAGGAGCCACGTCATTGCCTGAGAGGCTGGCCAGGGCTGTCCGCTGGGGACAGTCACTGTGGTTATGCCAGGACAAGAGCAGATTCAGACTTACCTTGGGCCCTTTGCCTCTCACACTAATCTACCACAATAATCCAGGGCTCTCTAGGATCTCTAGGTTATAGAGGTCAAATTTTCCAAAGAATCAAGGCTTTATGCCTTTAAGCACCCAAACTCTGTTAATTTATTTTAACCATCTTAGATGGAAATCTTTTTGAAACTTATTACCCAATTCTCTTACTACTATTTGTTTTAAATGTAAAGTTCCCCAAAAGTACAAAGAATAGTAAAACAAACACCCATATTCCCACTATCCAGAATCGATAAATGTCCCAGACTTCTTTAATAAACTACATAAACATAATATAATTTCCTTTTGGAATAAATAAATTTAAAAGAGTTAACAGTGTTATTTCTAGATGAAGAAAGTATGGCTAATTTTTTTCTTTTTGCTTCCCTATATTTTCTACAATAAATATGAATTACTTGGGCATTACAGTTGCAGTAGCCATTTAGGCAGGCTGTGGTAAGGACTTCTCCTATAAACTATTGTACTAAACTCTATTGCAAGGCTACCAGGAGACCTGTTTGCTGCTTCCTGACTCTTGACAAATAGCGGTGTACAGATATACCTCATGAGAAACAAGCTGGAATGTCACCAAGTAGTTAGGTCATGACTAAGTAAGTTCCAAGTACATAAACAGACATAAATGGCAAAATCTCCATGTTGTTTAACTACATTACAATAGCCACAACATAAACATACCAAAATAAATGTCTGATCACTTTTAAGCATAAAAAGCCAACGGACATGAACTCATAGTGGGCATTTTATGGTTATACAAGGGTACACTTGCCTCTCTATAGAACAAATCTGAATTATTGTAGACATCATAAGCCAAGAGATTAGTCTGTGTCCCTACTAAAAGAGCATCATAGCCAAGCTGAGGGTTCAATACTCCTGCGGTCAGGCAGCTGACTGCCTGGTTAATGTTCAGAAGAGAGACATCGGACTCCAGGGGGCTCTGGATGACTCTGGATGCGCTGAAGTGCTGGCTCCGTGTATGAGGGTTGTGAATAAAAACCTAGAACAAAAACAGTTAAATACACTCCCTTAAAGTAACAAAAAGGTAAAATCAACATCATACATTTCTTTAAAAAGAACTGGGTTGGTAACAGATATCAACGTTAACAAGAAGTCACTTCAATCACCTACAAGGCTTAAAACACTTGTACACTGTTCTGGGTACGGCTCGCTTTCAGGCATTCTGAGTGATGGAAATCCAGTGGTTCTTGGCCTTATAAAGAATAAGGTAATGAAAAAGATATGTTGTTCCTGTTAGGTGCCGTCCAGTAGATTCCGATTCACGGCAACCCCATGTGTGCAGAGTAGAACTGCCCCACAGGGTTTTCAAGGCTGTGACCTTTCAGAAACAGACTGCCAGGCCTGTCTTCTGAGGCACCTCTGAGTGAGTTCAAGCTGTCAACCTTTTGGTTAATAATCAAGTGCTTAACTGTTTGCGCCACCCAGGGACTCCTGAACAAGATCTAGTTGTTGCTTATCAGGTCCCTTCCATGCTACCTATCAGCAGGGTATCAAAGCACTCTTACAAACCATTTTTTTTCTGATCAACTTATAGGAAGTAAAACAGAGAATTCAATCATTGGCCCAAAGATAATTAATTCAGCAGCTTCAGCTATCATAAATATAATCACCTGAGTGTCTGCATCAATCATTCGACTTCCTCAGGCTTCATCTGTAAAAAGGTCTGGACTAGAACATGCATTTCAAGAGGGGTGATATCACTCCCAAGGGGGAAACTGGGGCTGGGGTGGAATCTTAGATGTTAGAAAGGTTTGTGGCCCTTCAAAGGGCCACAGTACAAAAACAGAAATACAGTATATTTGTAGTATTAAAATTTCACTGGGGACATCTTCATTGTTTAAAAAATAAGCTCCACAGGGGGGTGACAGGAAAAAAGGTTGGGGAACACTAGACTAAAAGCTCCTTCTAGTTCTAAAGCTCAGTAATTTTAAATGAGTATTTCATTCCTCTGGTATAAATCCAAACAGGATTATTTTTAAATCATTACTTACATTAAGGTAGCCTATTTGATAAAGAATAATTTTCAAAAGGACTGGCAAGAAACATATTTTTTAAAAAGGTGCAGAGCTACAGAATATAGTGTTCGTGTTCCCATAATAATAGTAGTTTTCATGTGTGTGATACTTCACAACATGCTTTTATAAATGTATTGCACTTGATCCTCACAACAACCCCGGACTTACGGATGAGGAAGCTGAAGTCAGAGGGCTGACAGCCCTTTCTGAACTCTCCTGACCGGCAAGTGACAGGACTAAGACATGAAGCCTGGTCTCTGGCTGCAGACCCTAAGCTCTAGCCACCAACCATACTTCCTTTTATAACAGTTCTGGGTTGAACAAAAGAATTCTAACAGAGTCCTTTAGTAATTAAATCTGCTGAGAAAGAACACGAGGGGAAACAACTTATGGACACCATATTCACTGTTACTGGAAGAGAAAGAGTTTGGGGTCTGCCACCAAGAGCAAGAGTCCCAGGACTCAGACTTCTCCCCAGCTCCCCTCTGCTGTTCTGTGCTGGGAGAAATTGAGTCCCCAGGGAGACCCACTTGTCCCTCAGGCAAGGAAAGAGCCAAGCGCCATCACACAACAAACGGTCCTCTCCTATGCTTATGATTTTAAGCTCCTTCCAAAAGACTGGCTGAAGTTCATGCAGTGTTTAGACTCGCTAAGAGGATGCAGCTGACAATGTAAATTCAACTGACCACTCACTCAGCTCCATAGTGAGAGGAAAAATGTCTCCAGAGGAGAACGCTATATGTTCATCCTGCAAAACCCTTTTTTAAATATCCTTCCTCGGTCTCAGAGACTGATCCCAGTCTGTCAGCTGCATGTTTACAATTGTGTCCTATGCGAAATGACAAAAGACATCGTTTCAGACTTGGAGGCCCCAGGAGTCAAGAAGAATTTTAGCCTTAACTGTAAATTGTTTTTGAAGGAGACTATATTCATGTATTACTTGGATCATAAAATATTAGCAGTTATTTTTTTAAAGTCTTAAGATAAAAAATCAAGCCAGAACTTTTCAAATTTGTTTAGAGTTCTAAACACAAAGACACCAGACCTTCTTACTTTTTTTCCCTCTATCTTGAGAAACTATCATAGAATCAAGCGTTCCTGCTTCCCACTCAGGCCACATTCTAATGTAAGGGCTTCCACAGAGACTTTTGCCTGGTCTCCCTGCTTCTAGTCTTATACCCATCTCCCCACACCCCACTGCAGTACATTTTTGCATAGCAGCCAGAGTTATCCTTTACCTAAAACACAAGTCAGATCCCAACACCCACTTTATCAAAACCCTCAGTGGCTTCCCAACATACTCAACATAAAACCAGTGTGTTGACCATGGCCCACAAAACCCTGTATGATCTAGCCCCTAGCTACCTCATGTTGGTGGATACCAGTGTGTCGACCACAACTCATAGCAACTCCATGTGACAGAGTAGAACTGCCCCAAAGGGTTTTTTAGGCTGTAATCTTGGAGCCCTAGTGGTGCAGTGGTTAAGAGCTTGGCTGCTAAACAAAAGGTCGGCAGTTCAAATCCACCTACCCCTCCTTGGATACCCTACGGGGCAGTTCTACTCTATCCTATAGGATCGCTATGAGTTGGAACCGACTCGATGGCAACTTTTTTTTTATCTTTATGGGAGGACGTTGCCAGGTCTTTCTTCCATGGAGCCACAGGGTGAGTTCAAACCACCAACCTTTCGGTTAGCAGCCGAGAACTTTAACCGTTTTGACACCTGGGCGACCTCATGGCCTCTTCTCATACCATTCCAGCCCCAGCAACCTCCTTGTGTTCCTGAAACACATCAAGCATATCTCCACTTCAAGACCTCTGCAGTTGATGATCCTTCTGCCTGAAAGGCACTTACCCCAGATACCTGCAAGTATCATTTCCTTCAAAACTGCCGTCAGATGCTGTCATCTGCAGTGCCTCGTAACATTTACAGCAGCTAAATTATTACGTGCCACTGCATTTAGCGCTTTACTCCATTAGATATGAAAATTAACCATTACATATCCCAAGTATCATATGAGATAACATACAACATAGGTGACAAAGTGTCTTGAAAACTATAAAGCATTATACAAATGCTAGTTTATTAAATCCACACTGGGTCCGAGAACATGCTTTCTAATCTCATTTCCACCATTTTCTAGTTGAGCGGCCTCAGACACTGCTCTGAACTTTTATGAACCTCTATTTCTAATCAGTAAAGTGGAGTAATAAAAAGAAAATCCTAACAGCTAACAATTATTGAGCATTTCCTATATGCCAAGCACTTTACGTGTATTAACTTATTTAATCCTCTTAACAACCCCATATGGTAGATGCTATTATTAAGTATCTTGCCCAAGGTCACAAAATTAGTAGGTACAGAATTAGTAAGAGCCCTGGTAGTGCAGTGGTTAACCGCTCAGCTGCTAATCGAAAGTTCAGTGGTTCAAACCCCCCAGCTGCTCTGCGGGAGAAAGATGTGTCAGTCAGCTTCCATAAAGATTACAGCCTTGAAAAGATGTGGCAGTCTGCTTCCCTAACAATTACAGCAGTTTTACTTTGCCCTATAGGGTCACTATGAGCTGGAATCCACTCATAGGTGGAGTCAGGATCCACTACTCCTGTGTTGAGTTGCTGCCCTTGGCCTCATGTAACAAGGCTTTGTGCCTGTTAGAAGTTTTTCCCCTTGGTCTCACTGTATCCCATGCCTCCATCAGTACACAATGCACAATTCGTTTTCTCTGCTGCTCTTCTGGACTGTAAATTTTCCAAAATCAGGGACTCCAGCTTTATCTCTAAATCCCCAACATATAGCACAAAGCAAGCTTTCAGTAAAAGTCTGTGAAGGTTGAATAAGCGTGTCTTTTTCATCTTTGTTGACTCCCACACTTTGCACAGTAGCTGGCACATAGTTAGACACCTAATGTTTACTGAATAAATTATGGGAAAACACCTGAATGTACATGGATAAAGGCCAAGAGCGTAACTTGAGTCATTTGATCGAAAGATCTTTGTATTCATTCATTTTTCTGTAAAGTTGTTTGGCTCGAGAGGCTGTGCGTGATGGTAGGAAAAGGGCCCAAGCAAGTGAGCCAGGGGCTCGATTCTGGGGTCATCTACTATTGTTTCTCCTTACCGGGCCTCTTCCCTTCTCGGGGCCTCAGCTTCGCTATCTGTACAGGGACTCCGACACTGTCCGAGTCTCAGCGCCCAACGATCAGAAACAGTTAACTACTCAGGAAAGGCGTTCAGGTGAGACCTCATTATTCCTCGCAGGATGGAGAGCTACAAGGTGACTACTGGTCGCCTAGCAACCCTGGCTGCGGGCGGGATCACAGGGGACAGCCCGCGGAGGTAGTGGGCCGTCGGGGGCCCAGGCTCCGCGCGGCGGAAGCGGTTACCTTGTCCGCTTGGGTGGCGGCCGCCAGGCACGGGTGGGTCCCGTCGTAGCGCCCTATGGCCACCATGCGAGGGATGATTTTGTGGCGCAGTTTCAGAGTGAACACGGGCAGTAGCATGATGGCAGAGACCGAGGGGAGGAGGGCTGGAGACCCGAAGTTGGAGCAGCGGAGCCGGCCTCACCTGCCGCGGTGAGGAGCGCAGGGACAACACCAGATCGGTTGCCACGGTGGCTCCAGCAGCCTCATGCCGGGAGCAAAACTGCGCGGGACTGAGATAGCTCCGGACCGCTGGCTCTTTCTGCGGCTGCGCACGCCCGCCCACTTCCTTTCGCGGCTGCGTAGGCCCCGCTCAGCTCCTTCTGCGGCTGCGCAATCGGGCCCTTGTTCTTGGCAGAAGTGTCGCATCTTTTTCGGTGAATTTACCATCGTGAGGTTTAGCTCCGCTAACGTGTACGGTGGCCCCGTCTGAGACAGGGGATCATCCGGAGAGGCACCGTCTAGCACCACAACCAACCTGCTGCACCCCTTCATACTCCACACACTGCTGCTGTACTCCGGAGTCATTCCTTCAAGAAATATTTCTTAAATGCCTACGTACTCTGCCCTTACTTTAGACGTTATGTCAATGCAAACCACAGTGGTTACCTGCCCTAAGTATAGCGATCCTTTTAGAAGAATACTTTAGACTCTCAGGTTTAAAGAGCCTGGGGGCCCCTTGCAAGATTCGCAATACAGTATATTTAAAAAAGCAAACATGCAAAGTTGAAAAGTTGTGACCATTCATCCAACAAATATTCACTGAGGGCATACTATGTGCCAGGCAGTGTTTTAGACAGTAGAGATATAGCAGTAAACAAAAGATAAACCTTCGCCATCCCGGAGCTGACATACTAGTCAGGAGAGAGAAACACTGAACAAGGAATACGTATAGTTGGTGGTAAGCACAACAGAGAAGATTAAGGCAGGGAGAGGAGATAGAGGGCTGGAGGGGTGGCAGTTTTAAATAGGGTGGTAGGGAAGAGGCTTCACTGAAAAAGTGACACGTAGGCAAAGACCTGAAGGAAGTGAGGGGGCCAGCCTTGAGGACGTGTGTTCCAGCAGTGGAAGTTCTGCACAAAGGCCCTGAGGGCTCGCTCTGGCTGCCTTCTGGAAATAGACGTTTAGGGGTGGGGGATGAGCCGCTGTTGATGGAGGAAACTGAGAAGGAGCAGCCAGTGAAGGAGTAAAACCGGAAAGAAGAGAGGGTTGCCGGGAGGAGGAAAGTAACAACTGCGTCTGATGCTGCAGGTAGATCTCAAAAGGTGAGTTCTTGGTATGAACTCTCTGGATATTCTCGGGATTTGCATTTTGTAATTTGCTGTTGTGGTTAGCTGCCGTCTAGTCAGCTCCGACTCGTGTCTACGTCACGGAGAACAGAAGGAAACGTTGTCTGGTCCTGCGCCGTCTCACAATCGTCCGTATGCTCCCGTAAATCGTTATTATTATTAAAAAAAAAAAAAAAGTTACCATCGAGTCCAACTCATAGCGACCCTATAGGACAGAGTAGAACTACCCCATAGAGCTTCCACGGAGTGGCTGGTGGATTTGAACTGCCGAGCTTTTGGTGGCCAGCCAAGCTCTTAACCACTGCGCCACCAGGGCTCCATTATTGCAAGGTTATTATTACTATCTCTACGTGAAAGAGCTGCCTTTGATTTGTCAGAGCCACTTGTAATAAATTTGGTGTCTTTTTTGTTTTTTAGCAGGTAGCATTGTTCCTGGTTCCCTTTCAGCCCCCGGGGTCGGAAAGGTCTGGTAGGACTAGAAACCAAACCAAACCCGTTGCCATCAAGTCAGTTCCAACTCACAGCGACCCTGCGACCCTATAGGACAGGGTGATCTTTATAAAGCAGACTGCCATATCTTTCTCCTGCGGAATGGCTGGTGGGTTTGAACCACCGACCTTTCGGTTAACAGCCAAGCACTTAACCACTGGGTCACCAGGGCTCCTTGGTGGGACTAGGTCTAGATCAAAAGATCCCCTTAATGGTCTGAATGAGACTGGAGGAACCCCAGAAAGCATGGCCCCAGATTCTCTATCAGCCCAGAACTAAAATAATTTCCAAGGCCAACTCTTCAGACAGGGATTGGACTGGACTGTGGAACATAAAGGGATCCTCATGAGGAGTGTGCCTCTTAGCTCAAGTAGATACAAGAGACTAAACAGGCGGCTTCTGTCCGGAGGTGAGATGGGACGGCAGAGAGGGTTGGGAGCTGGTTGAATGGACGTGGGGAATCGGGTGGAAAGGAAGAGTGTGCTGTCACAGTATGGGGAGAGCAATTAGGGTCACATAACAATGTATAAATTTTTGTATGGGAGACTAACTAGAAATGTAAACTTCATTTAAACTACAACAATAAACAAGAAAAATTAAAACTTTTAGATCCCGACGTGTGGAAGCAGGAGGCTTTAGGTCACACCTGCCCCCTGCCTTTCCTCTCCTTGTCCTCACAGGGAATATGTAAAGCACCCCCACTAGAGGGTGTGCAGGTATAAAGAAGGGAGGTTGGAGCCTCAGGACTGCAGATGAAAGGTCTGTAGGGAGATGGGGTGAGAGGGTACCTCAGGAAAGGAGGCCCCAGCAGTCACAGGACTTAATTCTGGGAAGTGGGCTGGGGCAGGAGGAGCAGCTGGAGGACTTTGGCCTTCTCCTTCATGCACTGTGGTGTTTGCTGTTTGTATAGTAAGCTTGTTTTACTTTTGTAAAAAAAAAACAAAATCCAACTCATGGCGACCGAACGTGTTACAGAGTAGAACTGAGCTCTATAGGGCTTTCTTGGCTGTATTTGTTAAGGAAGCAGATCACCAGGGCTTCCTTCCACAGAGCCACTGGGTAGATTTGAACCGCCAGGCATTAGGTTAGTAGTCAAGCACAAACCGTTTGTGCCACCAGGGCTGTCTATATAACAAAAAACAACAAAAGCCCTTTGAAATAAAGTAGCAGGAGGATGGGGGCTGTCTGTGAGTTTCAGGGATCCATATCCTCAGCCTCCCCCACCCATGCTTATGAAGCCTAGCTTCTGGTTATTGTTGTTGCCATTGAGTCGATTCCGACTCATGGTGACCCCATGTGTGCAGAGTAGAACTGTGCTCCATAGGGTTTTCAAGGCTGTGACCTTTTGGTAGCAGATCACCAGGCCTGTCTTCCAAGGCTCCTTGGGTGGGTTTGAACCACCAACCTTTCAGCCAGTAGTCAAGCGCTTAATCATTTGTACCACCCAGGGACTCCTCTAGCTTCTGGTGGTTGCCGGCAATCCTTGATATTCCTTGGTTTGCAAATGCATCACTCCAGGTCTGTAAATAATCTCAGGAGAGGAGACACTGAAAGTTATCCTAAGGGAGAAATGCTTATATTAAAACTGAATTATTATGGATCTAGTATTTGTCCCATATAGATTAAGGAGTTGTTTCCAAAGTCCCCCCACTGTTGAGATTTTGGAATCATATTGCTGATTATTCTTCATTTGCTTTCCCAGATCCCCTTTCTCCCTCCTCTGTCCTGGTCTGTGCCCAAGAGGCTGACCTGTGCAGGCTTTATCGCCTCCCTCACACAATCAGGAGTTCAGAGGATGGAAGGAAAGAGAGGTCAGAGGATGAGTCCTCCCTCGATGCTCGGGGTATTTTGCCAGTGGCTGCCTTCTGCCCACCACCACTGCTACTCTCAGGCAGCTCCTGACTGACACTGCGGCTTCCACTGGGCTCTGGTAACACCACTTCTTTTCTCACTCCTTCAGGCCTGTTTCTGTGTGCCTTCGAGTTGATTCTGACTCATAGCAACCCTATATGATCAACCGGAACTGTCCCGTAGGGTTTCCCAGGCTGTAATCTTTATGGGAGCAGATTACCAGGTCTTTTCTCCAGCAGAGCCACTGGGTGGGTTTGAATCACCCATCTTTCAGTTAGCGGCTGAGCGCTTAATCATTGCGCCAGCAGGGCTCCTTCCTTCAGGCCTAGGGCTGCCCTAACAAAGTACCACAAACTGGATGGTTTAAAACAGCAAGTATGTATTGTCTCACAGTTGTGGGGGCTGGAAGTCTGAAAGCAAGGTGTCAGCAGGGCCGTGCTCCTGAAGGCTCTAGAGGAAGTTCCCTCCTTGCCTCTTCCTAGCTTGTGGTGATTGCCTGCAGTCCATGGCGTTGCTTGGCTTGTAGATGCATCACTCCAGTCTCTTCTGGTAGGAGAGCCTGGTAACTAGCAACTCTCTCTCTCACCCCAAGAGAAAAAGAAAGGTCAGTAGGTGAAGACTAAAATATCACTTTATCCCTGATAACAGCTGATAATGAAGAATGTAACTTCTAAACGCCTGGAAGATGAGCTTCCTAATTCTGAACCCCAGAATTGGGGAGAATTATCCAACACTGGAAACCCACAGGCCAAATCTTGGGAGCAGGACCTCTCTAAGTAAAATAGCAGGCCTTCTCTAAATAAACATTCTATTTAGAGAGCAGATGCTCTTTTATTCTAAATTTAATATTTCATCATGTCAGGGAGCAGGCAGGTCAGCTCTCAAGAGGAAGCTGGGCTGCACACACCCCAGTCCTCACCCCAGACGCACCATCTGAATGACAGGACTAAGTGTCGGGCAGTGGAGGCAGAAAATGGCAGAGCTGTTATACGGTGGAGGCCCCCCTGCAGAGAAACATTCCAACCTAACATCATCCAAGCACCTTCAACAGTCCCTGGCACGTAGTAGGTGCTCTTTAAATATTTGGTGAATGACTGATTGCCTATTCAAGTAAATCAACATTCGTATCTTGAATAACTTGGTTCGCCAGTGTACAGTTCCCTCCACCTGGAATGCTAAGCCCCCAGATCTTTTCAGGCCGGCTTCTCTGTGTCAGTCAGATCTCAGAGAAACCCCAGATGTCTCTCACATCACCCTGCTTTATCAGTCCCACCCACTGAAAAATGTAAAACAGATCCTATCGGTTTGCACTAACAGCACTGAGTGCCTTTCTTGTCTTGTACTGTGACACCCACTGGCCCATGCCTGAGATTTTTGGAAATGTGTGTGAATCAAACCTGTTGCCGTTGAGTCGATTCTGACCCTTTAAGACAGTGTAGAGCTTCCCAATAGAGTTTCCAAGGCAGTTATCTTTACAGAAGCAGACTGCCACA